CAGAGCGCGAGCGCCGCCCCCCGCCGGGCGGGTGGCGTGGCGCTGCGTGGCGCGGTGGACCCATCAGATCGACGACGCGTAAAATTGCAGCCGTATGTGTGTGGTTAGGAATTATTGTTACAAGCCGCTCCGATTCCCTTCTCTCTCTCTCTCTCCCTCTCTCCCCTCTCTTACTCACCCTCACGCCTGGAGAGGCAGAGCGAAAGGGAGGGAAGAGAGTGAGAGAGGGATACGGAGGAGAGAGAGAAACGTGGGGTAATCATCGCGACGCGTGGGAAATTATGTAGTGCCGTCAAATAAGGCTCCTTTGCCTCCTTGCGGATGAGGGACAGAGTGGGGCGGAGTGCGAAGGAGGAGAGGCAGCCTGCCGGCGAATGAAATAGCCTTCTTCGGGCAAGATCTGTCTGACGCAGCAACGGCGGCGACGATCCACCACCGCTGCGACAGACGCGGAGAGAGTGAGGAGGTGAGTATTTAGATCGGGGGGGGGGGGGGGGGGGGGGGGTAGTTGTTTGCAGCCATCACTATCAAGCTAATTGCATATCTGTCCGGTGCAAAAGCAAATCTGCTACAAGCAGAGTTGAGAGATAGAAGAATCAGTCAATCGCACTAAAATGTTAAAATGACGGCTTGAACTTGAGTGGCCATTTGACACATTTCAAGCACTTTTGCTGAATGTCCAGTGGGTGACCCACTTTCCATTCCGCCAAGTAGCGGACGACGGACGCGAGCGGAGCGCCGGCCGAGTTCGGTGACGGGGCGCGAGGTGTGGCGGGGCGGGGCGCGGCGAGGCGGGCAGCGGGGCGTGGCGGGGGGCGGGGCCGACGCCGGGCGCCGAGCGCTCCCACTGGCTGGCGCTGCCGGCGCGGGCAGTGGGAGGGGCGAGAGGGCGCGCGCCATGCTCGCAGGGAATGCCCGGCCGAGGAGACACCTCGACACACGGGCTTACCGAGTACCCAATGAGCCACATAGCCTCATGAGGACAAAACCATCAGGACAAAAATGCAATGCAAGTTGCAAGTCTCGTAAGCCACACCAGGTGGCTGATAAGGCAAACGCCAGTCCCAACCACGCGGTTATACTGCACCGCGTGGTGATGGCTTGCCTACGTCGGAGCCGTAAGGCGCCGTGGTGAGTGACGATAGGCAAACTCGCATGCACGCCTGCATGCGATACAGTGTAACTACAAAAGTGCACCCAGAGAAGTGGAGCGCTCTAACAACCATAAAACGGCAACCTCAGGAAGTACTACCATAATACAAAATTATCAATAATACAGAACTATGCTTTCGTTCTAAAGGCAATTACAATGTTGCCTCAACCATCGCGTGATGGCTATCCCTGAAATAATCATACGATGGTTGCTACAGCTTTTCATTTTTCTGGATGTGCGCAGAGCAATGCAGCCTACTTGTGTGTACAGTCGAGACCCCGAGTCGACCTTCTTGTGTGTAACTGCCAGCGCTCAGTGAACACTCGACGTAGTAATCTCCGTGGAACCTGTGGAGTAGGCAGAAATCCCCGAACTGAGGCCTCCCACTCGGGCCCATGAGAGTGCAAGACTTCCATACCCTCCCGCATGCCATACAGACAGACACACACACTCACAAGTGGCAAATCTGTTGGCTTCTGTTTCTGCCTCTTTTACTTGAATGTGCTCAGCCCCACCCCACCCGGCAGTAGCAGCAGCGGCGGTCGGGCCTGCTGGCGGGGCGGGGTGGGGCGAGGCGGGGGTGGTGGAGGAGGAGGGGGTAGGTAGCGGGCGCGAGCTGCACTCAGACGCCTCCCACACACCGACGCGCGCGGAGCGGACGGGCCCGGCCCCAGTGCGATGCAGTGACTGAGCGCGCACCGCCACCATGTCGACCACCACCATGAGCTCGTCGGTGACGCCCTTCTCCATCGCGGACATCCTCATGAAGCGGCAGGAGACGGCGGCCGCCGCGGCCGCAGCCGCCACCGCGGCGCACCGGAGGCTGTCGTCGACGTGCTCGTCCGACGGCCAGCTGCTCCGCGCGTCCCCGATGTCCTCCCCGGGCCTGCCGCGCAGCCCCGCGAGGGCGCGGAGCCCCCACAGCCACGGCAGCCGCAGCAGCAGCCCGGGGTCCAGCCCGGCGCCCAGCCCGGGGCCCAGCTCGGGGCCGAGTCCCAGGGGCAGCCACGGCGGCGGCTACAGTCCGCGGCACCCCGACCAGCACGGCGACCTGCACGGCGACCTACACGGCGACCTACACGGCGACCTCCACGGCGAGGACCAGGCGCTGGACATGCGCGCGCAGCGGCGGCAACACGAGTACAGCGGTGAGTACCTTCGCAAGGTGTCAAAGGTAGTTATTCTGTCTCCGGTGTTCGAAAACCGTCGAACGTGCCGCGCGCGCGCTCTGAGTCCAGAGGTATCTGTGGTGACAACGGGGTGGTCAACACGACACGAAGCCAGGAGCAAGGATTGTCTGCCTAGCTTATGGGACTTGATGTGGACGTGGACGAGGTTTGGGGTGCGAGGAGCGGGGTTCGGAGAGCGGGGTGCGAGGAGCGGGGCGCGAGGTGCAGGGTGCGGGGCGCAGCGTCGGCGCGATGCTCGGGCTCGGACAGCAGGCACAAAAGATGACGGCTCAAATATTTGCAGGCGAGCCACTCTTAGAGGAGGCGCGGCTCTTCTCTGAACCGCTGCTCGCTGTGCTCTGCTGTGCGCTGCTCTGCCCCGGGCACGCGCTTTGACGTCAGCCGAAGTGACCACTTTTTCGAGGGCATGCGCGCGTTTAGAAAAGACAGGCAGACGGACAGACGGAACAGTTTTCTTCGAAGAGAAGACGTAGTACACCGCATAGTGGGACGGGGCTATTCGCGGAGTCGCGGTAGGAGTAGTGACGTATACGACTATGGAGAGATCGGCATTTAGTCGCGCCAGCCGTTTACTACGCGAGTAAGAGTAGCACCGGATTACGTAAATACAGCTCCCGCGCTTCCGTCCCGCAGCGATCGTCGCGTTTGGTGTTCTGTTGGGGGAGGGCGCCTGCGAGCTCCCCGACACATGGGCTGTATGGATAGATCCGTTTACCTTCCAGCCCATATAGCCATTTTGGCGCGGGCAGCAGTGCTCTGCCAGGAGTGTTTCCCTTCCTCACATATATGCAGCCAGCCCAACAGACACCCCTCCTCCCCCTCTTCCCTCGCATGGCCCCGAGCCCCGACCTGATCCTCCACCCTCCCCTCTCCTCCTCCCCGTCTCCTGGGCGAGTCAAGTGCTTGTTATGGCACTCCAGATATGAGGGGGTTTGAGTGGCGTATGCGGACTCATCTTCATCCTTCCCCTCTCCACTCGCCCCAAATATTTGGAGAGCTGCTCAATAAAAGCTTTTTTATTGATTTGGCCATTATACCGTCAGGCAGCTACCGACGAGCAGGAGCAGACCGCCCAAAGATACTGAGAGACAGTCGAGGTGTGCGTTGTGCGGACCTCCGTCGTCAATTGCCGGTTTATTCCCAGCGGAATACCTTTTGTATTGTGCATTAATATTGCTGAAGTAAATTGCGACGCTGTGAATGTAATTTGTCCATAAAAGATGCTGTGGCAGTCTGCAACCGATCTGAACGCGCGGTACATAAACAATCGGAAACGATGCGCGGATTTTTCAGACCGAGAAAGACACGTGCGGGGTAGAGAAGCTGCCGCGGCGCCCACTTGGGACGCATGGTCTGCAGGACCCCGCCGCGCACCTCTTGGCCCAATTCGGCGCCAGTGTTTTAGTTCGGCAGCCACCACCACCTCCATTCTCCACACCACTCTTGCCCCGCCACGCCACGCCACGCGACGCGCCAAGCCACGCAACGCCCCGACGGCTCGACCAGCCCAGAGTGATGGGTAAACAACCAAAGTGCCTATGCCGAGTTAATGGGTGCAACAGGAGAAGCACAATGTTTGGTGCGATTGCAAAACGGTCCACGCGCCCGTGCCTTGGCCGGTGGGCACGGCGGGGGCTTGAAGGGGGCCGAAGGGGTGGCAGGGGTAGCGGGGGGCGGACGGCCCACCACCGCACACGCGCACACAACACCGTGAAGACGAGGGCGCGCGAGCAAAGGAAATAGAAAACATAGAATTACCAAACATAAAAAATTATTACGAATCATTCAACAAATCACGGGCATGCAGGTCTCTGGTGCACCTGGCCCAGACCAGAGGCGTGTGAATCAATCCCATTTACAACTTCCGGGGAGTGCGCGACGCGGCGCGCGGCGGCCGAGGCGGCGGCCCGCAATGGGATTGATACGCTATAAATGACTGCCTAAACGCATCTCGAGTACCCCCCCCCCCTCCCTCCCTCTCCTCCCCCTGCCGTCAGCGGCGGTGCCCTGTACGCGCTGGCACGCTCCCTCCACCTTCCACCCCTCCAAACCACCCCTTCCCTCCCCCCCTCCGAAAGCCACAACTTCCGTTTCATCCCCGCTAAAAGGACACGGAGCGCGCTTGTCGGACGCTTAGGACTCGGGGAAAGGGGGTGAGGTGGGGATGATGCAGACAGTGGCGAAGGGAGGGGGAGGGGCATACGGGAAGGGGTTGCTCAGCGCTTTCCGTTACGACATAGGTAACCTACTAGTCGCAATTGCTGGCTCCGAGAGGAGCAAGGGGAAGGAGGAGGGGGGAGTGTTCAAGATTTGTAATAGTTGCGAATTTGTAATTTGTACCACGCATGCCAACTTATACCCCGCATTACGAATATTTTGAGTTAGGGAGGGGTTAATAAAATTGTGAAATGCATATAGAGGGGTGAGGGGGTGGAGAGGGGCGCAAGAGCGTAAGGAAAAAGGCAGAGATAATAGCCCGTTGCGCGCGCGCTGCGTCACACCCGCCCTGGGCTGGCTGGCCGGAGATTGGCCTCTGTTGACATTACGTAAAAAGATTTCAGCGGGCCACACTATTATTTATAGCCCGAGGGCGGAAGGCACTAGACAACGCCCCCCTGCCGGGCCCTTTTGTTGCGAGGGGCGCAGCGCCCCCACCAGGCGAGCGTATAATGGCGGCCGAAAGGAGTAATTCTGCTAAAAGCGGCGGCGCGTGTGCATGGGCGCCGAGTCACCGCCTCGGTCACGCCCCCCACCTGTGCGAGGTACTAGGTGCTCAGGGAGGGTGCGCCGCGTGATGGCGCGTCGTGACGAACGAGTCCTCCTGCTGAGATTGCCAGGAGGAGTTTGCCGTGTTTTCCAGTTCCAGCAGGGGACTTGGAAGAATCCCACAAGGGATGCTCTGGAAACGTGCAATTTTTTCCCAGAGGATGTCCTGGGTTTTTCCAGTGGCCTCCCTGGTATAATTGCTTGTTTCCAGGGCTCCAGCTCTGCTGGTAATCCCAGGACTCGTTCTTACCGAGTAGGGCCACAAGGGGCCATGGTGCCTTGCGAGAGAATGGGGTAGGAGACCGTACCCTACCCGGAACACTGGGGCACGTGCTAAGAAACACACACTACTGCAAAGTGGGGCCAAGATTTGGGTCGGCACCAACAGCAGCGCTACTTTGGTCACACCTTTCGCTTTACCAGTGTAATATAGCGGGCGTTAGCGGGTGACCAAACGCAACGGAAAGAAAGGGGAGTTCGTCTGGATTCGTCGTGCCCAAGCCATTACTCAGGCGGGCGATAGGCGTGGGAGACACGCGCTCCGATCCGCTTTGACACGCAACGCAAGGCGCGCGCGTCGGGCCGGGTCGGGGCGCCGGCCAGCCAGGCCTGCAGCGTCACGGCCACACGGGAAAAGTCGAGCAAAAGTGTTTTACCTGTGTGTGTCTTCCTCTGCCCGCAGACTCGGAGGGCGAGGGCGACGTGGACATCGACGGCGACGGCGACGACGTGGACCTGCTGGACATGCGGGGCTCGGCGGCGCCCTTCGCCTTCCTGAGCGCGGCGGCCGGGGCGCGGGGCGGGGTGCCGCACCCGCTGCAGCACGCCGCGCTACACCAGCTCGCCGCCCTCAAGCAGCACCGGCTCGCCAGTCTACAGGTGAGGTCCAGGTCCATAACCTGCGAACACCAGTTCGATTCAATGCCACTGTGAAAAATATTCGTAGGTTTACGGGAAAAATTTTCAAAATCTGTCGAAAGTTGAAGACTAACAATTTAAACATTGTAAATTTACGAACACTTCGTATCGACTTAGAATTAATCGACAAGCATTAATAGGCTGTCGCAAATTGACAACATGTTTTGTTGATAAAAATTAAAATATTGTACAAAGAGATTTTTCACAGTGATTGTGATTAATCGTGTTGCATTTTGATGGCAGTGCCACAAAATACAACGACGCTAGTCCGCTTAAAATGACAACCAGAAAACTTGCAAAAACCCGCATTGGAACGATCTGTCTAAAGTTGGTGGTCGGTTTTCGAACTCACGCCACCTTGTTCTTGTTCCCCAGCTCCATAATGTACTCATATGCTCACGACCGCGCTCACGACTAACTCCAGGTTGTTCCTTGCGCAGCTTTCGGGGTTGCACGGCGCGGTGCCGGACGCCGAGGCCGGCGGCAGCAGCAGCGGCGCGGGGCCGGCCGTGCGCAAGAAGAGGTCGCGGGCCGCCTTCTCGCACGCGCAGGTCTTCGAGCTGGAGCGGCGCTTCCACCAGCAGCGCTACCTGTCGGGCCCCGAGCGCGCCGACCTCGCCCACGCCCTCAAGCTCACCGAGACGCAGGTCAAGATCTGGTTCCAGAACCGGCGCTACAAGACCAAGCGGAAGCAGCTCCAGCTGCAGGAGCAGGTGGGGCCGGCGGGTCCCGCGGGCGGCGGGGGAGGCTCCTCGGCCAAGCGCGTCGCCGTCAAGGTCCTGGTGCGCAACGACCAGCCCTCCCTGTCGGCGCTGGGCGCGCTGCCCGACCACAAGCAAGGCCCGCTCATGTACCCGCCGCAGGGCCTCCCCTTCCCCTACTACTACTACCCGTTGCTGTACCCCGGCGTCTCGCGGCTGCCGCCACCCGACCAGCTGGACCTGCCGCGGCCGCCCGCCTCCTTCTCGCCGCAGTAAATTGACTCTCTCACAGACTCTTTTGTCGTGCGCTAAGACTCAAAAATTGGCCGGGCGTTCTTTTGACTCTGTTTCCAAAGCGCAAGCATTATTTTGATGATCTAGCAGAAATAGATAGGTCACACGTTCAAGGGTATTACTTTTAGATTTTTTGTTTTTATTAAAGTTATGTTTTATACTGTTGGATAGTTTTAGTTCGTAACCCCACCACGATAAATGAAGTAAGGTGGGGTTAGGATTCGTTTTGTAAATAAATGTATTATAGTTTTAATCGCGGAGAGCAGCAAACGTAGGAACTAGTACAATGATTTTTAGTCAAATTTTATTGATCTCTATTAAATAGGGCGTGTTGTGATGCAATGATATGTACAAACACTCGCACAATTTTGCCATGTGAATGTCATACAAAGATCACAAGTGATTCCGTGGTAAAATGTGTTCTTTTGATCCTGTCTCGCACCTCACCTGGTTTGTTTGTTAAATACGACATCACGAACTCAAGCGTGTACTTGTGAAAAAATTGTTGTTACAATAAATGAGAATTCTTTTTTGTTAGCAAAGTATGGTTTGTCGTAACTCTTCATGGCCAGAGAATAACCCAACAGACCCATATCGAATGAAAAGGCAGCCGGCAGCTGGGCCAGCCACCGACGCCGCCTTACCTGGGCGGGGTAGGCAACACGAGCGCACCGGTGCAGCGCGGCACAGTCGGCTGCGGGCGCTGGCCGCTACCTGGGCGGGGAGTGGAGCGCGGCCGCGCGGGGGATCTCCAATGGCGAACATAACCATGTACACATTAATGAAAGCATACATGCCATGTCCACTTTCTTTAATGTGTACCATGTACACATTTGAATTGACAGAGTACAGCCGTAGAACCCTATTACAAAAACGGAACATCGAGTATCACTATTAAAGTGACAGTGTTGTAGTGTTATGATTTTCAGAAGTTTGAACGAATCAGCCATAAACAAAATTTGGGGTTTCAGAAGAGCGAGGCAGACAAAGGCAAAGTGACCTGTTTGTCTTCAACCAGTGTCATAAAACAGAATGCAGACTGTCGTCCCATTTCATTCGCGACACTCACGTGGTTGTTGCAGAAAAATCCTAAACAGCAGACAAAATGTCATACGTGTCAAAAATTTAAATACAGAAAAACATAAATTATCAGCATGGCGCCGTTGACAGTTGACATCGAAATTTTAAGTATAGCTTGTTAGCAATCGGTTCAGAAATATAACTTACACGGATATAAAAGGTGTTCAACGTCAGCGTACCGCTCCCAAAGGAGTTGAACGCCGTAGATACTAATATATATGCTGTGTTTTCCTGGAAAAGTTGCAATCGTTAACCCCTACCCTGTTAAATGAAGTGTGCAACACATCCACATCCAAGTGCTCAACACTATGTTGCACGGTTTCAAGTGTTTGATTGGATATTTAAGTACTATAAAGTGTTGAACAGTAAATCAGTTTAAAGTGTCCGAAGCTTCATGGCCAACCCTGAAGTTAACCACTTCTCCGTGATCAAACTTTACTGTTAAACACCTTAGAGTATTTAAATATCCAATCAGTGTACCTGCTCAACTCCCGCGCTGAGCGAGTGCACCGTGTTGGCTAATTGCCTCCGTCTGGTGAGCAATGGGAAAGCGCACAATCGTGTACACGGTTCCAATAAAAACTGGAAAGGAAAGAAAAAGCGATTGATTATTATTACGCCGTCGCCTCGTCTCTTTTTTGTTGTCTTCTCCCGGCCCAATTGGCCGGCTGAAATATTTTCCCCGTATTTTGATGATCGCCCGGCAGCGAGTTCGGCTGATCGCTCTCAAACGCCGCGCGTAGCCACGCCACAAATTGCCGCAATTCGCTTTTCTTTTTCTCTTGCCGCTCGCCTCCTCGCGCTCCGCCCACTCCCTAATTCGTCCCCAACAGAGGGCTCCTTCCCGCCCCTCTCCCCGCAGCGCTCCGCCACGCCCCCTCACTACCCTCACACCGCGCAAACGCGGGCGTAAACGGTACACAAACTGTGTGCTTATAACACTGTACGGACGCAACGCATTTCCACTCATTCCACGACAGATTTACAGTTTCTTTGTTGCCAATTCTCATTTCCCCTTTTGTATCCCCATCCATTTGATCAAAGGGAATACACAAATCTGGGTACTCACGATTCGTGGGCCACGAATTTCAGCACGTGAAGTAACCAAAGACTTTACTGCGACTTTTATGTACAGACTTGTAACCCAAATAGTCGACCATGTGCACATCAGGAAAAGCGTGCCTGCAGGCATGCACAAGTGTGTGCCTACAGGGTCGACTGTTAGCAACAGTCGTCTTGGTCGACCGATTTATCATAAGTGTGCCTGGCACGGCCTGGCATGCACACACGTAGAGGGAGGTCAGTGGAAATCAATTTGCACAGTACTCTTTTAGAAAACGAATGCTATAACTAAAACTAGGAGGGGATGATGAAAGCGCAGTGCCGCTACGGCTACCGTCGGTGACATCAACATTGCACCAATTGCTGGATTCCCCCACTTCCTCCCCAGAGCATGCAGAGCCACGTGCGGTGTGGTCAGAGATGTCCCGAGGAGCGACGCCGTGTGCCTCTGCAGCCTCTCACTCTGAAGGCGCACCGCTTTGGCCTTTGGCATCACCAGGAAATTATTTCAAGTCGAGAAACCGACAAGGAAAATTACCCCCACGGCCCCTGGCGCCGTCCCTGGACTCGCCCCACCCCACCACTAATCGCAGAGCGGGACTGTAGGGGCTCTATTGAGCACGCTCACCGGAAAATGTCTCCCAATCAGGCAGACTCTTTGCTCTCCTTTCTTCGCCCTCGTCCCCCGAACCCCCCCTTCTTCCTTCGGTATCAATTTTTTCCCCGTTTCCCTTCTCCATCACGTCTCAACCCCCACCACCGCGTCCTTCCGCCGATTACTTAAATTCGTCCCCTTTTCACGCCGTCTCTTCTCCACGTGTCGCCTCAAGTAGCCGCACCCTTTCACACCTTAACGGCACAGGCATACAACAAAACACATTACAGTTTCTAGTTTTAAAATTATTATTTTATTCGGAAACCAAAATAACGCTTGAGGTGAGCGAGTCCCAGTCCGCGGGCCACCGCGCCAGCCTCCCCCTATCTCGGGCGCCTCCGGGTCAACTCAGCTCAAAAGGGCGTGCCCTCAAAGGATTAAATGAATCAAGTGAATGACGGAACTGAGATGCTCGCGGCGCGGCTCCACCAGGGCTCCGCGGCGGCGGCAGGGAGTGGGCTGTCCGACGGCTGAATGGGGTGGAAAATCACGTCAAAACGAGCGAGGCGGCGGGGCAGGGCGCGGAGCAGAGAAAGACTCACGCAACTTTCCGCTCATCTTTGGCTGAGCGCGTGCGAACGACGCGAAGTCGGTGGGGCGCCAGTTACCTGGAGGGCGATGGAGGGCAGCGGAGGCGCCCGGAAAAAAAAAATAAGTACGGAGTCGCACTCACAGCGTCTGTCCTCCTTGGAGCACTTTAGGACACATGAGAACAACAAACGAGAAATCTCTTTAGTCCTGAGCGGCAATTCATTTGCGGAAGAAAACTTAACGTCGGAGCACGTGCAGTGCAATTCTTCCTTCAGACGACAAAAGAAAATTATAATAATAAAACTCATGAAATTCACTGGTGAAAAGTGAAAACGGGCTCCCCATTGGACTTACGCCCTTTTCACATTTTACCAGTGAATTGTGGAAAATTTTACCTTTTGAAGCTTTTTGAGCCACATCCGCCTCTCCGTCTCCTCTTTCGCAGCTAAGGCGGGTTCCGTCGCCCGCTGAATGTGCGCCCCCTTCGCCCTCCCCGGCCCTGCTCCGCACAGCAGCTCATCGAGTATTCCAGTCAGGACGGCGAGGGCCATCCTACGAATGGCGGGTAGGGGTCTCCTCGACTCAACTTTCCATCCATCGACACACAATGGCAAGCTACTTTCTTGTCGCCAACTTGCTGCTGGTGCTGCTCTCTTCTCGGTCGAGCGACAAATAGCCCCCCCTTTTCCCACCCCTTACTCCTCCGCCCACCCCTTTCTGCAGCCGCGCGCGCGGGTTGGGGGAGTCAAAGGCGAAAATTGGTCGAAGGAATCGGGTTCCGACGACGGACGAAATAAAATGACACACTTCGTGCCGACCTCACCCCCCAGGCAGGTGGACGAGGGAAGGGTGTGATTGGGCAGCGATAGAAACGTTGTGATCGCGCCTCGATATCGCATCAAATAAATTTGTGAGATTTGACTAACAGTCAACATAAAGTCCCTGAATACGACGGTCAAGCGAATAATTGACATAACCCTCCTGCACGCGTGCATGCGGTGGAGAAACTGCGCGCAAGTGGTGTGGTCGATCCTACCTAACGGGTACCTTTTAATAACCCACAAGTTTAGGTGTATGAATGTCGCAAACTTTAACAGGTAAATGCATTCCCATCTGCACACTAGTACAAACTGAGGTGTGAATTTTCCCTGAAGTTTGGAAGACCTGTTTTCTTTGTCGAACTGTACTGCGAGTGGAAATTTACACCCCCACAAGTGTGCGGCATTCACACAGTTGCAATTGAGCTAGCTATGTGCAGTCTCGTGCATCGGGTAACAGTCGAAATCGTCACCCCTTCGTCAATCACTGCCAAGGCGCCCTCTGCGAGCAAACAGACGAACTACATGCGTGGCGGAATACGCCGTGCGCTTGAACAGACGTCGTCGCTACACCGGGCTCGACAACGCACGGGCAGGGGGTAGCGACGCGCACCCCCAACGGGGGTGAGAGTGCTGCACCGCTGCACCACTTCGTTAAAACAAGGCACCTGGGATCGCGCCAAAGAGGCGGCAGAAATCCGCGGTGGGCCAGTGCAGGCTCCAGGGAGAAAAGCGGTGAAAAGGCTAGGGGTGAGGGGGTCACCCCCGTTACATGTGAGCGGGCAAGACTTGCATGGGTCAATGTCCTCCCCTCATGTGTAGACGGTCGCCGACTGATCAACGAAAGACTCTTCGACCTTTCCAACACCTAAAAGTGCGTGTCGAAGTGTCTCACACCAACAGGCGCGGTATAAGACGGGGGCGACAGGGGGGCGATGTACTGTGGGTTGCCTATACATACAGGGGGTTTGTAGTACAAATTGCCTACCTTTCAGGCCGCTCACTAGATACGACCCCCCATACCGCGCCTGCACACCAAATTGTGAATGACGGTAAAAAATAAAAAGAGTTGCGTGACAACCACCCGCAACCACCGGAGTGCGACGTATTCCTGAATAATTATCTTTCCTTGCGATCGTTGAATTTCGTGGAATGTAGTATTGAGAGAGCAGAGAAGGCTCTCCGAGTGGTTGGGAGGAGACGTTTGACAGGGTGAGACGAGAGCAGCCAGACCAGATCAGGGGAACCACCTCACAGCGGTCGGGCCATTTAATGTTAAGTAAAATTAGTGAGGGTGGAGTCAAGTGTTTAGTCAGGTCTGGTTCGAAGTCTACTCCCCTCCCCTATCTCCCCCCCCCCTCGTCCACTCTCATACACACCTCAAACTGCAAAGTGAGATTACTCATGT